TTGGGTTTTTTTTTTTTTTTATAGCATTAGGTCCCCCCTTTAAATTCCAACCAGACCTAAAGGGTCTGGGGTTTTTTTGTATTTATTTTTTAATTTTCACATTTATAAACAACCTAACTGCATTCAAATAGATCCAAACTCCAAAAAAAAAAACGAATATCAAACAGATCCGAATTTCAGAAAACAAATATTTTTTTTTTTTTATTTAAAGAAAGTTTGGAAAAACAAATGCATTTACCCTCACAGTGGTTCCTCAGCATCTCTAGGCAACACAAACACATGCATATATATATATAATTGATTTTATAATTATTTTATTTTGTATAGTTTGTTTTTTTTGAGTGGGGTTGTATTTTGTAAACATGTACATTTCAAAAGTTTTAATAAAGTTGTTTATTTACAACAGTGCAGTCTGGTAAAAATACGTCCTTAGTAGGCACTGTTCTTCTCCCCTTCTGGTCCCAGAATGCATCAGTCAAACATATTTTAACACCTTAAACATTGATTCTACGATTCAAGATGTAAAAATAACACTTCAGCTGCTAAAATAACGTCCAACACGTAACAATATCAACTCCCTAATGCTTCAGTCGGAAGCCTTAATGGGCATGCTGAATAACGATTGGGGCTTTAGTGAATACCATGTTTTCAAACGAAAAATAAGGAGAGCTAAAATTAATCACTTCCCGTCCATTGGTCGTTACTGAACGGCACGGCCGGACGGGAGTCTTATAGGAGCGGGAGGGCGTCTTAAGACGTCCTTCCCCTCCCCCCGCCCGTGTGCACCGCCAGCGCACCCTCCCATCCACCCACCCTCCAATTTTTGTATTATTTTTCATATGAAGAATAATCATGATCTGTAAAGACTCATTCATATGTTTTACAATAAAAATTTAGATTTCCAGACTATTGTTAATAATTGTATATCCTCGTGTTTTATGCTTCTTGTGGATTATTCCTGTTTATATTGTATGTGAATAAAGTGCACAATATACACGAAGATTATTTTTTTCCTTTATTGTATGCTCAACTCACCAGACAAATGTTGGGTTTGGCCTTAGCTGCGATTGTCAGCGATCCAGCAATGATATACTGCAATATAAACCACACACAACATCAACAAAAAATGTACTTTGTTTCTCGGTTTGTATTGTTTTCTAAAATTACTCAAAATTGCAAAAATAAACAACATTAAAAAATGCAATTAAAGGAGAACTATGGGGTTAAGGCTTTTCCCCATAGTTCTCCTTAGGATAACGGGAGGACACAAACTAGCGTCCTCCCGTCACCCTAGGTTCAGTATACCGCGAGCTGTAGCTCGCGGTATACTGAGACGCCGCAGCCGGAACAGATCCCGACGTAGATGACGGGATCCGCCCAGCTGCGTGAGTGACAGCTGGCTCTGACTATCTAGAGGCAGAGCCAGCTGTACCCGCCCCCTCCCCCGTCCGTTCCGCCAGTCAGCGCTGGCAGATCGGAGCACGGAGAGGGGAATCCAGCCCTCCCCCTGTCACGGCAGAGAGCCGTGACAGGATCGAGAGGTGAGGGAACCCGGTATGTGTTCGCTCACTTCCTGAGCCTACTTCACTACTGAGCCGACCTGTGACAGTTTCACTGTCACAGGTCGGCTAGAACTATGAGGCTGAGTGCAAGCACTCACCTCATAGTTCTCCTTTAACAGTGATGCACATAATGAAATGTAAAGCTGTTTGACTTCTCTGCATATGTAAATTTCATAGATTTAGAAGTTTTATCATGTGTAGTAGTTAGCACTTCTGCCTTGCAGCACTGGGAGTCCCCAGTTTGAATCCCGGCCAGGTCACTATCACAAGGAGTTTGCATGTTCTCCCTGTGTTTGAGTGGGTTTCCTCCTGGTACTCCGGTTTACTTTCACACCCCAAAGACATGCTGGAAGGTTAATTGGCTCCTCTGTAAGGCCCCGTTCACACTGAGCGATTTATCGCGCGATTTTCATGTCGCTCAGTGTGAATGGGGCCTTAGTTGGCCCTCTATGTATGCATGTGAGATGGGGACCTTAGATTGTAAGCTCCTTGAGGTCAGGGACTGATGTGAATGTGCCCATGTAAAGTGCTGCGTAAATTGTTGGCGCTATATAAATATCTGTAAAAATTATAATAATATTATTATTAATATTATTAGGTATAAATTATTGCTTTGTAAACATTTATTGATATCAGTCTAATTTAATGTTTAGTCCATACAGGAATTATATGTTATAGGCAGATACTGACAATGTGCTTCCTCTTGGAGATTACAATTCCATAAAAGAGGAGGAAGAGGATCCTGCTTATGATATTTTATATTGTAACTGTACTGTATCCCCATATTTTTATAATAATAATAATAATAATAATAATCCCAACTTCACCTACCTGCTCATAACATAGCCCTCTCCTTCTTGCTTCAGGATTTTTTCAATATATTTTTTACATTAGAAATAAAGTGGGACTCTACATTTGCATGCCTAAAAGGTAACTGGTGAGTGATTTAGCACAGCAATATCCGCTAATAACTTAAGCAGAAGCTTGTGTTAGACTTACCCTATAATGCTAGCCATGAATGCACTTAAATAGGAACTCTGGTCAGAAAGGTTATTAACCCTTGCGGTGGGGCTACCCCTGCACTACAAGGGTTAACTGCTCGTTTTTGCCTAGGGTAATACAAAAGTCCTGTGATGGACTACACTCCTACTCTTACTCTTATTTTTTAATATTTAGCATTGGTGGCAGAGTTTAGGTAGACCAATAGAGTGGTGGAGGGTTTAAATATATCCTTTTGTTGACAAGCTAAGTATGAAATACGATATTACGATCTAGTTACATTCATATATACTGAAAAGGTGAGATCCGTCAAGCTGCTTTCAATACTCACAATAAGAGGACCCCAGAAGGGGATTCCACTGGGCAAGGCAATGGAAAACATAGTGAAAAATAAACCAATCCCCACAGCAACCTGCAAGAGGGCAGCCACGATAATAACAATCTGGAAGCAAAAGAAGAAGATATATGGTATACGGTATATAATTGAAATTCACATCTATAAATTATTATATATATATATACACAAGAGGGAGAGAATCATTTACTCTAGTGTGTAAATTTGAGCTTATGCTTTACAGCTCTGTAATCAGATTTATATAAGTAAAGCTGATTAGGGAACCCTGAAAAATGTGAAATGACCAGTGGCGGACCTAAGGAACAAAGGGCCCTGGTGCAAGATTATTGTTTGCCCCCCCAAAAAAACCTCACAAACACAGCACTCTCCTCCCGCAGCGCTCGGCCGCCTGTCACTTTCTCTCCTCCCCGCTGAGACACAAAGCAGCACCCAGCGGGGAGGAAAGAAAGCAGGGATGCGCCGTTGTATCAGCAGAAAAATTGCACTTTCGGCATTTAGCCAAAAGTGCCATTTCCGGCCAATATGTTTTGGCGGCTGATATATCGGTGCAGCCCTAATATTTACAGCAATGCAGAATGGCACAGGCTATAGAGGACTACACATCCCTACAATACTTTATATAACAATAGCATTTCTGTATAAAGTACTGCTGAGATTTGTAGTCCTCTATAGAGGGGGCCATTGTGCATTGCCGCAACAGTACGTTATACAACATTAGGCTACAAGTAATAATTATTTTAATTAATTATTTACCCCCCCCCTTCCTCTTCTGGAGGGTC